TAGTTAAATGCATATCTAAAAATGCAACCAAAATGTAGATTTTAATAAACTCAAAGCAATGATGGATAGGAAAAGTGTATTGGAAAACAGGAGAAAAAATGGAGACACGCAGAAGTAGTAAATATGGCTGTATAGAAAGTTTAAGGAATATTTGAAAAAAACCCCTACATATAGAAGTTGGAAAGAGGGACAAGTCACAAAGAAAGATTCTGTATCAATAGTTTAGAACTGCAGAGATGGTGCTCAGAAATTTAATATCTCTAACAATCTGTCTCAATATGTGGTTACCACACAATATAAAGCTCCCAGATATCTTATATTTGGCTAATATGACACTCTCTGCAAAAGAGAAAAAAATGTATAAATTGTTTAGCAACTTAAAAGCACCCGGACAGAGTTGCAATTAGGTTGAGTTTTAAACAAGGTAAAACTGTTCTTGGGCTCTTACTTTGTACTTGACTAGGGGCATTTCTTCATGGCTGTTTTAATGTCTATATCTCCTATCCTTGAATTGGCAGGAAATTATGTTGATATAATTTGAGCTGCTCTCATGGCTGAGCAAGCCTTCTACATTTATTTAGGCTTGGACTGCAAGAGAGACAGTAAGTGAGATGCTGTGTTTGGCAGGATGTGAGGATGAGCCCTAAACCTATTCACTTGGTTACATCATCAAGGTAGTAACAGTGATCTCTGATATAAGTAAGACAAAGCCCACTGGATATTTTGCCTGTATGAGCTCTATTAAATTTAAGAATTAATCAAAGCAATGCTTTGTAACCTGATCAGAAATATATTTATGTGGAATAAAAATTGGCCCGCATACTTTAATTTTCTTGTGAGAATAAGCCATCAGGGACAAACACTGTTGATGATATTTCTAGATAGTCTGAAATTATATTTTTATTACATTTAAACAAGCTTTACATTGTTAAAAATTCAATTTGTGGCAACTTAGACCAGTAGTGCACACACAGTAATACTTTATTCAAGACTGTAGCATCGAAGAGACTCAACTCATCTGGAGAATCCTGTTCTTGCTAAAATATATATTACTGAATACTATAACGTTCCTAGCATATTTTACTTTAATATACTTTCTCCCCAGTTTCCTCTTGCTTTCGCTGGTATGTGAAATCATTCAGTATTTTCTTGTGTTGCTGTGTTGCAGGATAAAGAATCTTTGATTACAAGGAGGCTTCAAGTTTAGAAGAAGAAAAAAAATCTTTATTCCTTATATGGCATCATTAGGCTATTTGAGCACTGTGAATGGATGATTGCACTTTATTATGCACAGTCTATTTCATGCAGTCAAGAAGCTCAGAACGCTACCAGGAAATTGCAACCAGTTTCTAACAAAAGGGAGCATTTAAAGAAGAAGAAGCTTCTTTAAATCAAGAACATAACTATGGGAAAATCAGGTTGGTAAACAATTATATTTTACATTGTTCATAAACTTTTGTTTGTTTTGTCCCATATCTTGATAGGTACTTTGCATTTTAAAGATTATTCATTCAACTTTATCTACACCATTAGACTAGAAGGAGTTTCTTTGTAGCAAAGAACACAGTAAGTAATTTAAAAGATGATTTTCAGGATCCTACCACCCTCCCACCCAGTTTTTCTGAGGGGCACATACTTAATTTTGAGTTAAATACTGTTGTAGAAAGATGTGATTAATGCTGTAAGAGATATAATGAGTAGCGTAAGAATATCTGTCAGTTCAGATGCTTGTTTGGTATGTTGTTGGTTCTTAGAATTAGCAGCTGTTCTGGCTAGGCTAAGAGAAAGCAAAACATTCTTTTCTCTGATTATGTTGCTTCAACAAATGGTAACCTTTAACATTGTTTTTATAGTTTATAGTTTACATATTTATTTTGCAGTTTTTATAGCCCATCCAACTGAGTCAAAGCTATAAAAGCAATGATACAAATAAATCAAAATTATTAAACTCAATAGGAATAATAAATTAGGCCTCCCCCAAGATGGGACACCAATAAAATTTAGTTAGGGTTCAAGGCCCAGTGAAATAAAACTGTCTTTAAGGATCCTCTAAAAATCATGTAGGAGGGAACTTTACAGACCTCTTGAGATTTATGATTCTGAAAACAATGTAATTTTGGTAGAAGCTGCTCTGAATTGAACATTACCCTTTGTTTTGGTGGCTAAAGTTGCCTTGGATTAGACTTGCAGTACAAAATATATTTCATTCCCTGAAGATAGAAGTCCTAACCCCATTTTGGGCTATGTGTGATTGCCACTTAATTTCTGGTAAGGCTTTAAAATTTTGTTAAAGTAGCAATATATTGCTGCTGGTTTCTTCAGCATGACAGATACAATAATAACAAATTCTAATTTCAGTTAATTAGATTTGATACGGCCATCCATTCCAGAAGACTCTGGGTAGATAACAAAATCCTGCCCCCCCAAATCAAAACAAAATAATTAAAATGCACACATACAGGCAGCCTGGACCAAAATAGCTAGAACAATAAACAGTGCAAGAACAACAGGGCCCCCACACATACATAACAAACACATTAACCCCAGGCCTGGGAATAGCTCTTAAACTTTAATTATGATGCTTTCAAAATCCCTATCAGTAATAAAGGTGTCAATCCTTAAAGGCCCATTCAACGTCATCTAATGTTATTTGGTCATATAGAAGACTGTTATCAAGCTTCAGTGACTATAATTCTTATAAGCCAAAGAGGGAGCTTTATTAGTACCAAAGCCACCTTGAGGCCTATGTTTGGTGGAAGATACAGTTTTTTTCTGATAAATTGCTAAACTGGCAGTATATGTAATTCCGTTTTTGGTGAAAGGAAAGATCTATTATGAATTCAGCAGGGAAATCCAAGTCACGTTGCCTGATAATCTCCCTTCAGTTTCCTTCATCTCTCATTCCCGCAACCAATTCCTTTATGAAATTCTTAACAGGGAAGAACAGATGGTAGCATACACTGAACTACATCCTATGCATTTGAAACATTTTTCAGTTGTAGTCCATTTCAGCTGAGGATAGTGGCTCAGGAATCAAAAAGTTTTACTTACCTAGCCTAGGCAATGCTAAGGGGGGGGTTCCTTAGCTGAGCTGAAGGACTACATGTTGAACCCCTGAATGCCATTATTCTTTTGATTTGGATAATATGTCCTCTTATTGTTTTGTATTCTAGGAGTTACTGTATATCTGAAGAGAGTGGATTTATTATTTATTTAAACAAATTTCTATACTGCATTTTGAGCTTAACGAAAACAAAATGCCACAGTTTACCTTCAAAACATTTTAAAAGAACAGAAGTACAACTCCTTTTCTTAAATTAAAAGCTAGAAAAAAATAAATGAAATAAACATACTTTTACCTCCTTAAGTAAATTTTAAGTGTGCTACCTCCTTAAGTAAAATGTAAATTTGGAGTATCCTTTAGAATGTATACTTTCTTAAAATCTGTAAATGCAATTCTTAGCCCATGCAGAAATGCAGAGTTTAGGAGAAAATTCATTCAATATTTTCATGTAATTTTTGCTTAACTAATAAAAACAGGATAGAACATATGACTAAATTTATGAAAACAGATCTGTTTAACATTAGAAATGAGAACTGGTTTCGTGCTGATGGTTTTTGGCTGATGGTTTTGATGTTGCAATCTTAAACCACTCTTTCCGGGAACAGTTCTGCAGCTGAAAAAAGTGACTCTCTTCCTTTCTCTTTTCTCCAGCTGTGGAATATTGCTTCACAGAGAGGCTGCTGGGTTGTTTTTTCAAAGCTCACTGAAAGCTTTGAATTTTCAATTGTAGTAATAAATAAACAAGCAAAAATGAAAATGCCTACCTTTCTAAACTGTTTGTGGGGGGAGGAGATAGCAGCCACTGAGTCAGCAGAGAAAGAAATATATCTCATGACTGCAGTGCAAGGTGGGGCAAATTGTGCCTCCATTGTCAAGAAACACTGTGCCTATTTACCAATGTAATGTTTGGTTTTATGAAGAGAACATAAAGCACAGATAACAAGCACAGTTGAAATGTTAGGAAGGAAAACTGGATTTTGCTTTCTATAATTGAAGAAAACTGTTTCAGAGAGGGAGAACAAAGAGATCACATCACTTTAGGAGCAGAAAATCTTCAGCTAGAGCAGAAAATTGAAGAAGGAAATTTAAGGAAAGCATATAGGAGAGTGATGTAACAGTTGAAGAAACATTGTTTTTTAAAGTAATAGAAACATATTAATAACTCAAACTATGATTTATGCTGCTTCTAAATATGGAGGATCAATTGCATTACCACAGCTATTAGGGAAACTCAGGGTATGACTATGCAGCACAAGTGAACACTGTTAGCCAATAGAAGCTGGATCATTTAATACCCCTAGTTTTGTTTTGTTTATTTAGATAAAGCCTCTAGCCCTTTAAGAAATCAAAACATCTGCTATTCTACACATTTTGTAAGAAAGTGTTCTTTTTGCTTTTCAGTATTTTAGCTAATGAATGAATAGTCATAAAAATAATTGATAATGTCCCAAGAAGTTCCTGGGTCATTTTCTAATTTCTACCCCATTAAAAGAAATGACACAATTCTAGGATGTTGGCATAGTTCTGATTGGGTACTGATGTATTTACAGAAAAATTAAAGATAGCAACAAAGAGAGGAGTTTTCTTAGTACATTACTACTTTCAAAAATCAGTGATTTTTCTGAGTTTAAAACTGCCAAAGTGCACATATCAAGGGGATTGTTATTACATATATGTTATTCCAGCCCTATAAGGAAACTCAATGATGTTATGCCCATTACTGGTGTGTGGGATGTGTGTGTGTGAGATAGTAGTGAATGACATTCTTGCACATAACCTGTTCTTATCCAACCTTCTGGTTGTTCTTGTGCCTACCTATTGGTGGGGAACTGAGACTGATTGTAGCAGCAGTAGGACTGAAAGAGTTTGTTATGTATATATGTCTGGTGTTAAGCAAGACTTTAAATTTTCTCTTTTTTCCTTATCAGGGCTTCAATATGGCATTGTAGCTGCAAAAGTACCTGAGACTTTTGGGTTTTACTTAGACAGCAAAATCTTGGGATAGCCTGCAAGTTGAGCTAAAGTGCCAATTTACAGCTGAAGACAATCAGATAATGTACATATTGGTACATATTCTATTTTCCCCTAAAAATGGCACTCCTGGCAGAACTAGGGATCCCAACTTTCTCCCATATCACAGACTAAAGGAGAGAGAGGGTCTATTTACCTTCCACAGTTATAGTGCTGTGTTCAGATTTTATTTGCTCCTACCCAGATTTATAGATTTAATGTTTATAATTCTATGTTATATTATTTACTGCATTGATTGTAGTATGAATGCTTTATTGTAGTTTACTATTTTATTTTGCTATGTGCTGGTCATTGGCCAAAATAACATTTCTGTTCTCTCCTGCCCAAGAGGAGCAAAACTCATGCAATCTTAGCCCTCTCCTGTAAAAGCATTTGTATTAAATTATTTCCATGCATGCATGGCTATAAAAAATATATATCTATAAAACTAATAGCTGCATTTAAAATGGTTCCTGTGGCTACCATTAAATAAATCATGGTTTAGACACTTCTTGTAGCATGACATCTTTTTCATGATTTAACCTTTGATTTTGTGCTTATTGTAGCTTAGAATGTGCTTTTCAGCAAGGTTTCCTACTGTGAGAATATGTTTCGTAGCAGGTCACCATCCTTTTCTTCCCAATCCTTCTAGGTGCAATCTACTTGTTACTCAACTTTGCTAGTGCACTTATTAATGGCTATATATTTGTATTTCTGAACTTATTACCATTTGAATTACTCATTTTAGTAGGGATAACATGGACAGATTATCTCAGCATCTTTTGTGTAGCAAATTTGAAGTCAGGAATTTATTCACAATAAAAAATGGCTCTGTAGTGAAATTAGAATGGAAATAGAGAAAAATTCACTGCCACCATTCTAAATGATAAACTTAGAATTATTATATTGATGTTATTTTCTGTTTTATCAACTCTTTTCTTGGTAGTGTAGTATCTTAGGCAAGGAGAAGAGTTCATATTTACAGAATGATAATTTACTGAGAAGTCCATATTTACAGAATGATAGTTTACTTTTCCATAAGGGCCTTCAGTGTTTCTCTCTTCTTTTTCATATACTGATTATCTCCTTTTTCTTTCTGTTCTTTGTTTTTACTCTGCCCAAGTGTTAGAAATTAACTTTCTCATGCTTCTCTCCCCAAATTCTCTTAATTTTTTGCCTTTCCTTCCTTATAGTAAAGTGTCCAGTTAACCTTTTAATTTATTTTAGTAAAATGCAAGTCATCTATTTGTCTTTACAAAGGGTTGGAGAAATATATTTATGACAGTATTCAGTAATTATGACTCCAATTTTTTTAAAAGTATGTATAAAATAGTGAGACTTGTTGGATCAATTTTCTTGGAAAGAAAAAAAAGAAATGGTTACCAGACCTCCAAAATTATGTTGGTAATCATAGAGGAAGAATAATTCATCTGAAAAAGCTTCAGCGGCAGTGCCCCGATTGCAGAAGAGAAAAATGGATAGCATGTGTATGGGTATGTTTTTTAAAAAAACAGAACTTGTAGTAACCCCAAAATAACTGTCATTGAGTGGGGTGCTACATTCTACAAAAAATCTTTAGAAACGCCTTCCCTAATTGATCCAAACTGGAGTCAAAATTCCCAGAAGTTCCAAACTTGAAGTAAGGAGGAATTTCCTGAACGTGAGAGCTATTAATCAGTAGAACAGCCTGCTTCCTAGAGTTGTGGTTTTCTATCACTGGAGGTTTTTAGGCAAAGGTTGGATAGTCATTTGTTTGGGATTGTATGAGAATTCCTGCCCCAGGCAGGTGGCTGGAGTAGAATACCAAGGTCCATTCCAATCCCATGATTCTAATAGGAATAGGAAGAAATTTAGTATCTTGGGGTGAGCAAGAAATTGAGTAGCTTGGTTTTACTCTTGAAATGCTTCTTAGGCTATATGAGAATTGTAATGTCAAATAATGTGGTTTTTTCATATGTACTTCTTTACTGAATATTTTCAAGAGCCATAGCAAAAATAAAAATCCCTAATGTGTGTTTCCTGTGGCAAAAATTTCCAAGTGTTCACTTCATAAGACATTCAGATGACTTGTATTCATTCATTTTATACTGAAATGTGCATAGTGTCAGAATGTAACCCCTCAATTCAGTGTGTGAACCAATTATAAGGCTTGTTTGAGAAAAAATCTCACTGGGACATTAGTAGACATATATATATATATAGGATTATACAGGTATTCTTCAGCTCTTTTCATTCTAGCCTGGTTTTAATACTGAATATGTGTTAGGCAGGCATCAGTCAGGTTCTGGATGATATGTAGAGGGTTAAACTCAGAAACCAAGGGACCAAAAAGCAACTATGGTACACAACACAGTAACAGCTGCTTAAACAGGTTATCAATATTATTTCTCCTAATATCTTTCAAACAAAAGTTCTTTAACAGAGAAATGACAAGGATTTGGACTAGATTATTTCAAAGCGGGGGGTGGGGGGGTAGTTGGAAAAGAGACCCTAGCTGAGCTTTGTAAAGAATTTGTGCTATTGACTTGGCTTCAAATAGTTTAATGGCTGCAGGTATGTAGAAACCTACTTTTCTTCATAAGTTTAGAATAGCAGAAGTACTTAAATTGTGCATTTTGACCAACACACCTTTCCAGAGGAATGGTATTTCTCATTCTTTGAGACACATGCGAAGGGAAATACACCTTCTTCAAGGTTGGGTGGGCAGTACATGGGTATAGAATGTCATTATCAGGGCCTAGTTTAATATTAAAATTGCCACCTATCACTACATATACATCAGAGAAGATAGTAAGAAGGCCAGATATATAACTTTCAAATTTAGACCACAGTTTCTGATGTGTAATTTCTGCCTTGAAGGGGGTAGGTAGACCTTGATACATGGTATAGTATCTGAAGTGAATTATCACAGCCTTAGCATGTTCCTTAAAAGAAGGTCTTACCCTGACTGCACATAGTAATATTCCACTAACCTCTGGGTCTTCCTGTTCCTGCACCTGCTTCTGTATCCAAAGGGTGTGAGTTGAAACCATTGACTGTGGGGTCTTTGATGCTTCTTGCACCATAATGACATATCTAGAAAAATCTTTAAAAATGTATTATACTGTTTCTTTACATTATGTTACATTACTGTCAGGCCTAGCCCAGGAACTCCAGGAGACCACGCAGATTCAGTTCAGCAATGTTTATTAGCTACAACCTCTATC